ATATGTGGGGTAGCGCGCTTCCGATGGAAATTTTAATTCGCCCGCGGCCGCTACGTATTTGTCAGTGTCGTACCTGTTGACCGATCAGGTGCGACGGCAAATAATGCGCAACGTGAGAGCGAATCGGCTCGAAAAAGTGCAATGACGGGATAGCTGAATACCACGGAAGAGGCCATTGGGAGTGAGTAATGCGTTAGCGACGCTTCCTGCCTCGCGATTTGTTTCCCAAACAATGATCCTGATCCTCGAAATATAATGTTACGTTTCGATCTTAATACACTAAGAGACATCCATCTTCCATTACCCGGGGACTAGACTAAAGTTCGGTTGTAGAAACAGAAATACTCCTGTGAGAGGTTTCTACTCAGTCCATTGTTCTCAGTTATCTCAACCGTGTTTAATTCAGCCGAATGTTCACAGAAATGTCCTCAATTGTGGTGACAGGGGTACTTTTTATCGTTCGAGCTCTCATCTAGTCCTTATTTCGCGCAGGAACTAAGTTCTTCTTTCCGTATAATAACACTTACTACAAAAATGGTTCTCTTGGATGTAATTCACTCATTATGATGATTATAGTTATGTAAATACCAGATATTTTTCTCTGAATGTACAAATACCTTCTCTTTGGATCTCTCTATACTATTTTTCCGAGAGAGAGCACCTCTCTCTTTCTCTCTCTAATTCTACTATCTTTAAATTTTCCAAATCCACTCGAAAAGTGGAATAACAGCCGAATTATTCTTAAACTTGAATGTCGTTTCACTCATGCGGATTGAATTGCTCAACTTCGAATCGTTGGGTGAATAACTTCATTCGAAATTGAAGAGTGAAGCTGATGTGCTTCACCGTCGCAAAAACAAATCCATTCCAATCGAACTAACCAATCGCTCGTACAAATCAAGAATCCGCTTTAAATTTGAGTCGATCATTCGCTCTTGCCATTTCGAGTGGCGGTGACTTCATTCCCGAGTGAATTTTCGGCTGAGACTTCACCTCCGAGAAATTTAGAAAATACGATTTACCATAAATTTGCATACAAATGTCGGCCGAGTTTTGCTGCCTGAACTGGCCAGTGGCCAGTCGAAGCGATCGGACGGTGATATAATCCGCCGACGCCGAGATTTCCACGCTATTTACACGCGCGCAGATCGCGATCAACGGGCAGCCGAGTGGATAAGATTCCGCTGCACAGCAGGGGGAGACGCGAGAAGAGCGAAGATTTTCGTGGGAGTAGATGTACCTGCGGTCCGCCGGCGTCGGTCTAGGAGTGAAACTGAAACGGGGATAGGTAGGATGCCATTGGAATAAGATCGGGTTTAGCCGCAGCGTCGGGTTCGAGCCCCGGATAAGTCTGCCTTATCCCGATAAGCCGGTGAGTTAATGAATCACAAAACAGGTGGTGGCGCTGCCACCGGGAGAAGAGGATCGTCTTCGTCGTCCCGGCGATTGCTCTCTATGTGCGACCGAATTCGCCCGCTGTCGAATGACGTTACTTTACGATGAGCATCGGACAGCCTTATGAAACTCGACTCCGTCGTTCGTCCGGCGCGACGGACAAACTCCTGGAGCCTTACACTGGGAAAATGCTCTCGCGGCTCAAACAACATCGAGTTTCTCTGCGCCAGCGATCCCACCATCGAGTGAATGAAGTTATTCGAATTTTGGCTTTATAGTAATTATAACGATAGAGCACATGAGTGAGAGAGAGAAAGAGGGAGGAGGGGAGGGAGCGATGCGTAACGTGACGGAAAGATGTTCCTTCTTAGAATAATACACTGATGGAAAATTATAGTTACTTTCGATGCCAACCATACATACTCGTTAATTTTAACTATAAAAATAATTAGAACCATTTTTCTCAAAATGTTATTACACACGGAAAAGTATTACCCGTCCCGCGAAGAGAAGCAGTTGATTTTTCTTCTTTCGAGTACTGATTATCTTGAACGGAGAATATTTTCTCGACGATAGTATTGAAACATACTCGTTGGAAATGTCAGAAAAGCTTAATATCGTTTACACGCGGGAAGAAAAATAAATCGAGTAATTGCTTCTCTTCGCAGTACGAGTAATATTGTTCTCTGCGTACAGTGTCGGTGATAATAACCTTACGTACACGTTGCTACTACTGTAAAATATGATCGGCACCGAAAGTAACCGTATAATTCTCTATCGGTGTATAAATCGACGAGTTGTATAATACGGGAGAGAAGTGCGAAGTTACGTCGACCCTGCTGAAACAGTCACGTTGTGGAACGCGAATTTAATGATGATCTTGAGATTATTTATCCCCGTGACGCAGGAGTCGACAGACGTGTGTGTAGAGAGAGAGAGAAAGAGAGAGAAACGCGGGTATCTCGGAGTTTCTAAACTTTTCGATGTCACATCACATTAACACCTAAGGTGGCCGTAGTTTTATCTGGGACACGGAGTCGACGGAATAACACAACGGGAGCAGTGCTTATCAAAGCTATTCGTACTAAATTTTATCTGCCACGTCTGGCACTCGACAAGAATCAACGTCGTTTTATCAGACCACATTCTCTTGTGATACTGCAACCGGAAAGAAACAAAAAATATCGACCCTCGAACGCTCCATTGAGCTGTCCAGACGATTCATGCTGCCGTCGGTTGGCTCGTCAATTTTCGGTTCATCGCGCGCACATATCGCGCGTATTTGCACGTCGATCAATCGCCATTAGTTAAGAGACTCGTGCGCGTGTAACACGACGGATTAATATTATAATTTATATAATTCGATAAACGCGCAGTCACACATGCAGCAATCACGGCGGAAATAACGTCAGTTTGATTCTCTCCGGCGGGCGTCGGAGTGTTTGCAGTCTCGCGCGCGCGTATGAATCGCGAATCGCTCGATAAGAACGCAACGAGAGAGAGAGAGAGAGAGAGAAAGAGAGAGAGGCGAGACGTAATATATTAAATTTTGCTTCCTTATCGACCGTTATCAGAGCGAGGTGGTATGTAATTGAATATTTCAGACCGTGCGTCACATCGCGATTCGTCGCGCTGAATCACGCTGATCAAGCGGACAATTTCGCTTTTCCTACATCGAATTGTTCCATCGATTCTAGTCGTTTGCGCGTGTATGTGTGCGTGCGTTTGTTTACTCGTCGCGTTGGTTGGCTGGTCAGCAGTCGGTCGTAAACGACGCCGGATAAAAGAGTTTCCTACTTTCGCGCGATACGTCACACACACATATCAATCTTGTTTTGCAAATAAACACGCGAAATCAGACGCGTCGCGCGCGATACGCGAGATTTTCGGCGGAGATAACGCCGAATGCGGCTGGACTCGCGCGCGGCACCGAGTCGGAAAAACGTCGGATATTTATCGCGCGAATAAATGAGGATCGGATAGTATCGCCGACAACAAAGTTAAACGGCACGACCGGCGAGCTACAAGCGATTATCAGCGATATCGCGCGATGACGACGACGGTGGAAAAAAGCGGGGGCCTCCTATCTCTCGTCGGGATCGATACACAAAGGGACACACACGTCGATCGTAATTACCGGTCTCGCGAAACCCACTCTACCGTCACATTATCGATCCTTAATCCTTTATCACGACTCCGGTACATCCGTAAATGCGCCGATACTCCGTAATTACACACGTCGGGTCTTAAAATAACAAATTCACACGTCGATATACACCCGTCGTCAGCCGAGAGAGAGAGAGAGAGGGGAAGTGTACTCCTCGAGCATCTAGATCGTAGATTTCTCAAGACTCTGTGCGCACACGCGACGTCGAAGTGGATCGACGTTGCTCCACGAAGAAAGAAAGAGAGAGAGAGAGAGAGAGTGGCGCATTACTCCGGAATGAATCAACACTCTTATACTCAGCACCGCGACGAGTGGTCAATCTTTTAATCTTTCCTCGCCCAACGATGACGGATCTTACTGGCGCAACAGATACACACGCGTATCGCGCGACAGATGCGCGTTACTTCTTTAGCGTGACTACCGCCGTACGCGGCAACCGGGGGCACCGAGAGAAATTATACTTATTTCCGACCTCCAGCTTTTGCCCTTTTTACGGCCCCGACCGCGCAAAAATGGCAGCAGCAGTGTGCATATAACGCTGTCGCGTAAGAACAATAAGCATAACCGAATAACATCGGCGAGGTGTAGCGTAACGTTGTTTAGCTGCATCGAAATTTTCCCCGATTTTGTCACATACAGCATAGATCCCGATTAGAATGTACGAAGTCTCGAAATAGGGTTATTCCCACTGCGATATCAATCGGAGGAATCCCATTCTTCTCCCGAATGTAGATTAAAGCCACTTTTCCACGACGTGGATTTGGCTGTGTGATTTGCGATATGCGACTGTTATCGCCCGAGTCGAGTGACAGTTTCACCGAATATCAGATTAGGATTAATAAACAGAACGGTGATGATTTTTAATATTACGCTACTATTTGCTTAATAATGCGTGGATGTGTGTGTGTGTATATGTGTATACTTGTAAAGTGTGCAAATACTTAAAATGTCTCGTATATTTGGCTCAATTCGTAGTGTAAAACCAGTTTGGAGAAATATTGGGAATGATTAAATGGGATCTGTTTATGTTCTCACTCAGAGTCGTACGTTTCAAACATTACACTTTCAACCGGAACCCATCGCAGATTTCCCAACTGGAATCCACCATTATTTCGGGAAGTCATGCGGACCCCAATTAGATCCCGAGAAATTTTCTACGCGGATATCACTGACACTACGGCAACACTTACTAGAAGAAACACGGTTCTCCTGGCTACAATAAATCCCTCCGGCAATCCTAACAATAACTCGATAACTTCTAACAAGTCCAAGTCCTTCGCCAAGTGACGAGTACCTTTACAAATGCCAGATATTTTTCTCTCAGTGCGCCGGTAAGTAAATAAATCGGTCGCGGCCGGTGGGAACGCGACGGGGATGTTCCGGGCGGCCGTCTCTCTCGACGAGAGGCCGTCCCGCGGTACTGTGAACGACTCACCACGTTTAAGCTTCTCGAGCGGCTCGTGGTGCAGCTGGTGGCTCGAGTTGTGCAGCATCGAGGTGTCGTGATGCGAGTTGCCGTGCAGGTCGTGGTGGTGCATCGCGCCCTGCAGATGGTCGCCGTGGAGGCCGGCCATCGAGGCGGTCGCCGCGGTCGTGTGCTGATGATGCTGCACCGAGAGGCCGCCCGTCGGCCCGGTCACGAGATCCTGAAGACACAGATCCGCGTTGCCGCCACCGCCGCCACCGCCGCCGCCGCCTCCGCCGCCCCCGGCGAGTTCGAGGCTCCCCCCGCCCCCGCCGCCCCGCTCCATGCTGTAGAAGGTTAACGTCGTGTTGACTGTTCCTTACGACTCAATGCACGATCAACCTGGCCCGCGATCAGGCCGCGAATCCCGCCGGTCTCTTGCGCCCTAGCCTCGTCCTAGGGACACATCCAAGCGCGTCTTCTCCCTTGTCGCGCGTCTCCTAGATCCGCCGACGAGCGGGCATCAAGCGGGCTCTCGTTCGTCGCCTCCCGAGCCTCTGTCGCTCGACGATCCGGTGCGTTTATGATCGCTGATGACGCGGCCGAGAGTCGGTCGGCGGGCGAACCATAGGTTCCCGACGAGCCCTCGGTGCGTCTCACGCAGTGTCGTCAGGGGTGATCCGCCGTCGGCGCTCTCCCGCTCGCGAACGAGGCGCCGTCGGCACTCGAGACGGACCGTCGGCGGGCCGAGTGACACGCGCCGTGATGCGGAGGTGCGAGAAATCGGGTGACCCACGTCGTTACGTAAAGACTAGGAGGTGAAGAAAGAGAACGGTAATCACGCCGGAGTAAATAGGTTAAACTATCAGCACTATCAGCCCTACCGCAGTGAGAACGATATTTCTTCTCTCTCTCTCTCTCTCTCTCTCTCGCTCGCTCTCTTTTTCTATACTTTCATTCGGCTGCTCCGACAGCCTCTTATCACCGCGAACTGTCGTCACGACGGGCCGATCTCGTCGGTTTCACCCTTAAGTATCGAAGTACCTCGTGCGGTATCTGCGGTCCACGCTTGAGTCTATCGTTTCGCAAAGACGTTCTCGAAACGAGTCCCGCGGACTCTCAACGGAGGAGACGTCATCCGGCTTTCACGAGGTGTCCTACGAGCACTACGTCGACTCTCTCTCTCTCTCTCTCCGCAGTAGGACCTTCACCAAGAACCAAGCAACATTCACCGACCGCTGTCACCGACGGTCAAAGTCGGCGTTAACGACGGACGGACACGGCCTCGCGGCACCAAGATCTAAACTATCACCACTTCCGGATTCTGGGTAGCCCGCGTCCTCCACTCCACTGCATGGATTTACACGGGTGGTCCACCGAGACGACCGGGTACTCCCTCGCTCGCGCGACGGCCGCGCGAGACGTCGTCGCGGCCGGCGACGACGTCGGACGTCGTTGACGGGGACCGCACTGTCACTGCCCGCACCTCCGCCCTTAACGCCGCCGGTGTTAAAAGAGGCGCGCGTCCTCGGGGCGAGAACCGGCACACGGAGCGGGACACGGAGATGGAGGAAAATTCTAAGAAGGCGGCGGCGGTGCCGCGGATCTCGCAGCGGTGTACTCCGATTTTCCCGCTGGTGGATGGAACGGTGTAGTGGCCGCTGCGTAAGTCGGTGGTAGGTGGGTCCGCCAGGCTTAGCCGGTTGAGCCTTTCGGACTGCCTGCCGGCTTAAGTCTCTAAGTCGGTAAGCCGAGCGGATCTAGTGGTCTTGGCTGGTGCACTGGCTGCCTGCTAGCTTGCCTGCCTGGCTGCCTGCCTGCCTGCCTGCTTGCCTGCCCTGCCTTCCTTGCCTTGCTTGCCGGGCGGCCTGCCTGACTGTCTGACTGCGCCTCTCCCTCCGGCTCGCTCGCTCTTACTCCCCTCCATCCGCTCCTTCTCTCTTCACCTCCACACACCCGGCTGGCTGTCCCCCCACCTAGCGCATCTCCCTCGTTCTCCAGCGTCTCTCGCACTCTATAGAGCGCCGCTCTCCCCCTTGGCACGATCTCTCACGCCCGCGCGCCTTTCCTCCCCTCCCCCCGGATCGCCCAAACCCGAGCGTGTCCTCTGTTCTCGCGCGGCGGCTCGCGCAGCTCGCCGTCTCTCTCTCTCTCCTCGACCGCTCGTGCGCGCGTCCTTGTCCGCGTAGCGCGCGCGGCGCCTCCGTCCGCCGCGTCTCCCGCACGATCTCTTACGCCTCCGTCTTGTTCCTCCTCCTCCGTTTTCCCTCCAGCTAACACCACCCCTCCAACACGTCTTCTTTCTCTCACGCAGCATCCCTTCCTCCGGAAACGCACGGTGCAGCGTTCTCTCTCTCTCTCTCTCTGCGTTTCTCGATCTCTAGCGTCGGGTGCGTCCCGGTGTCGTGTAAGTGCGTGCGGCCCGACGACAACCCCCCAGTGCCGGGTCAGTTGTTGTTTTTCTTCTTCCTAGTCATCTTCTTCTTCTTCCCGCTCCAGCTATTTCTCGCGTCCTGCTCGGCGACGTTCCCGTTGTCGTCCAGCGCTCTCTTATTTCCGCAACGTGATCCCCTCGCGTCTTTTTTCCGCAGCATAGTTACTCGAGTTACACGGTCGCACCGTTCGGCTAACGTTCGGTTATCATCAACGTGCACCCCTCCCGGCCCATCCCTACCTATTTCTGGACTTCAACCCCACCTTTGACCCCTCGCGTTGCCCCTCCTACGCCGGCGACGGTGGCCGGCGTGCTTGCCCCTCGAGCGAATGTACACGCACACGTGGTGTGTCCTCTCTCTCTCTGTCTTCCCTTCTTTCGTCGCGAGATCTCGCGGATCTTATCGCATTACGACGATTATCGTTTGTTGCTTCTGCCGCCCGACCTCGTATACCGCCTTGACCATGCAAGATCGTCGCGAGATCCACCGACGATCACCCTTCACTTTCGTGTAAAACACGCGGCAGTAACCCCCGATCGTTCACCTAGGCGTTTCCACGCGCGAAAGCGACTTGAAACGGGCGACGAAACGGCCGAAATTTCTTGCGCGTTTTCACGAAGGGTCAACTTTCGCATTCAGAGGTGGATTATCCCCACGTGTCTCGTACACTGAAAGATATTATCATTATTTTCGGCCTCAAATGTACCCTCTTCACGATTTTAACCCGAAAAATGGTAGCAACGCGGCACGCGTGTAAGCGTAGTTTGCAATTGACTTTATAGTAACGCTTGCTGGAAGAAATGATTTTCCTCTGTAATCATACGATTCTTTCATCATGATAATTGTGGCCGAGATAAAAGAAAATGCAAGTTCCAAGCAGGGTTTAGCTATCCTTTCTTCGACAAGGGCTTTTATTTATCGGAGGAATAGATTTGATACAAATTTTCGGAAGTACGCGAGCGTATGTTTATCTTCTTATTAGTGTATAATATGTACTAATAACATTTGAGAATGAAAATAATCAGAAGAAAACGATTCTTGAATATAAAAATCGGGGTATTTAGCGTCAATTGTCCCGACTGCCATCCTATTGGGGTGCAGACAAGTATTGATAAATCGTATGGCAACCTTGATTCCAACGTTAACAGATGGTAGCAACTGAATGGTTTATGAGACTCCATCGACAGTCGTCCGCGATATCGAATGAATCTCGAACAATCCGAAAGGATAACCTGCCTTTTGTCGATGGCTTTTTTAGTTACCGAGTGGATCCTCGGTTGCTCCATATTTGGACGTGATCATCGATCGTGTTACTTCGCTCCCCGGCAGCCGTTGAGGTGAAAATCGCGCTCAAAATCGGGATCGCTGGTTACGCGGTTATCGCTCGCTCGGCTTATCAGTCGGAGCAAATATCGGACTGCCTGCACGGACGTCGTTCGTATTGAGCTATTCTATTCGATTCCGAAAGGTGTGCCTCTCTGAGCGCAACGTCGCGCTCCAAGTTTATGCTTCTCGCGCGTCCGCTCGCGCCAGCGATCTCGCAAAGAAACGAGTTACCTCGACTGTTGGGTTTACTCGCCGAACGAGAAACGAAACGTTGGTCGTCACCGACTCAGCTTCTCGGAGATCCGAAGTGGCCAAGCAATCCAGAAGATATCGCACCGTCGCATGTGCATTCTTCCCACCAGTCCGTCGCGCCAAGGACACTTTCTTCTAAACGACTCTCATTTACCGATCTGTTGATCGCGATTTGTTCCCTACGAATCAATCTAAACGAATTGTGCAAGAATATTATGTGACATTAGATGCGTGTGTGTGTGTGTATGTATGAAGGAACTCTAATTATTGACTCTCCGATGCAGTCGGAATCTTCTTGGCACAACATGAAGCATAGTGCACTAATCGCTGTGAGCTTACACCTGAGAATAATTGTCCTGCTTATCTTTTGAACGGTAATAGTAATTAGATAACATTCGGATACCGAGAAGGTATGAGTCCTTCATCTGTGTCGAAGCCATTCGTCCATATAGGACTCGGTGCCTAAAATCTCGTCGTGTACTTGAAATCTGGTTACGATCGAGAGGAAAACCAGTTAGATCCGACAACTCACTCACGGCTTCAGAATCGACCGAATATCAGGCCAGTTCTGCGCGCGATGCTACGCATTCCTCGTCTGCGCGACATCGATCATCGCGCCGTGGGTGAGCGAATAAGTTAGCGGACGGCGTCCATCTCGCTCTCATCGCGGGAGGACTTGGCTGGGTCCGAAAGGGTCAGCGACGAAGTGGGCCGCGCGCGTGATCCTCGTAAGAGAATCGTCGCCGGTAAAGGGAAGCCGAGGATGTCGTGACTGGCGTCAAGAAGTTGTCACGCAACGGTGGCGCGCGGGGCTGGGAAATCGTCTTCCGAGGGAGAGACAGACGCGGCGAGAATAGAAAAGAAGACACAGGGAGAGAAAAACAGAGAGAGAGAGAGAGAGGGGTTATCGGCGGTGACGGCGATGGAGGGTGGACGGGTGGGTGGGTGAGGAGGGACGCGTTCTAAAGCACTCGATGGAGGAGAACGCGCGCGGCGGGCGCGCGGAAAACGAAGAGCGCGATACGAAAACGGGGGTTGTAGCGGCAGTACATACGTCAAGCTAGGAACAGAGCGCCATCCCGGGGATCCCCTAACGCCTCGGGGAAAGTAGAGGAGACAAATGACAAGATGGCCACGCCTACCGCACGGGTTGGCGTGGGCGTTATTTGCCGGTGTGTGCGTGTGACTTCGCAGAACCCAGCTGGAGAGTGGGAGCACACCGGCGCGACTCGCTGGCGGTCTGGTGGGACGAGGGAGAGAGAGAGAGAGAGAGGGGGAGAGAGAGGGTCTGCCGTGCGCGAGAGTTACGTACGAGGAACGGCCGCGGGGCAGG